CACTGAAGCCAATTGTAGCATTTAAACTGAGACCAGCGAACTGGAATCAAACCTGTGACCTTCTGGTCTGCATACCTTCATATTAAACCATGCAGTGCCTTTTGAATGCTGCCTTCTGTATGTATGTAACACTACCTGTATACAAAACAATATACACTTGGCAGTGAAGGCTATTGCACCGAAAATCTTACTTTCTGTCAAGATAATGTTCCAGGAATATTTTGCCAGCTAAAACAGCAAATTATTTGGTAAAGATTATCTTCAGTGACAATCAACGTCAGCTTTTTCTCCACTAGACAATATGCAGTGAAGACATGTGCTTAGAAAAACTATCGCTCAGTCTTGTTATTTCATTATGGCCACTGCAATCAACACCAACAGCACAAAAAACACTTCAAGGCACCAGTTGAATGCACTGGGAATTAAACAATGGATTTGATGCTGTTTTCACAACTCAATTGAATTGAAAGCCAGTTGGATGTGTTATCTTATTCCAAAACAAAACATTTGCAAGATATCACTCAAGTAGCCTCTTCTCTTTTAAGCTTGCTGTGTGCTTCAAACCTAAATATTAAAATGTCTAACATGTCAATGTTTTTTTGTTATGTTATGTTACCTGTCTCCAAAGATACTAAGACTTGTTTGTCCATCCTAATTTCTCTTCTTGCTTCACTCATTCTTATAACCCTCAGTTCTATTTCCAAGAAGACATTTTTCTATTTCTGGCTATTTTTGAAGCTATTAATTGGCATAGGATCAGCCCCTAATTCATGAGTCAATTGTGGGAGATGTGACTCAGTTTGTGTGGGAAACTGGAAGTAAAAATATCTAGATCAGTTAAGGAAATTGCATTCGCTTTGCAAGCGAGAGACCTGAGTTCAATTCCAGGCAGGGCGAAACCTTGGGCAAGTTTCCTTACTCCACACGCCTGATAATAATCCCTTCAAAAACAAAAACAATAATAAATTGGTCATTTTCAATCTACGACTGTTTGTGGGACATTGCTGTGCGCAATTGGCTGCCGCGTTCGCCCACAAATATACAGTCAATTCACTTTACAGTGTGTTCTGTGAAGCGCTTTGGGACGTCCTCCCGACGTGAAAAGCGCTATATCAAATGCAAGGATTATTATTATTATTATTATTACCTCCATTCCTAGGATCATTTTTAATGTACCCTTCTCAAAACCTTCTGGTATAAACAATAATGCCAGAAAATGTACCCACCTTGGTGGAGTGAGGTCTTGATGGAAAATTACCACAGTCAGTACATTTATCAATGATCAGAAAATCATTCTGTTCCGATGTTAGAATTGATCTTGGTCAGTTCGATTTTGCACAGGCAAAAACAATTTTTATCAATACTACCAGCTAATCTACATTTATTACACCCCTACCTTGCCATCGCCGGAGGAAACAGTGATACCATTTTGTATGTTAATGTATTCCGGATGTTGAATATCCCTGTAATGTAATGAAAAAACAATTTGCCTTCCCCTCTGTCATGTGGTGGTGACCTGCTGTGAGCAGTTGTATCACAGTAGATGTAGTTAGTAGCAAAGAAAATTAACACAATCTGAACTGAAACAAAAATGCTAGTAATCCACATTAGGTCAATTGGCATCAGAAAAAGGAAAGATACATTAATCTTTCAGGCAGGACCCTCATCAACTCAGGTGAGGCTGGGTCAGTTTTAGTGTAGAACAGAGGATGGGAAGTGAACAAGAATGCGGCTCGGTTAGACATAAACAGGTTGTGAAATGTGGTTAATTGGTGGTAATGGATACAGATAAAGTAGATAAGGCAGGGGGTGTGAAGTCTAGTCCAGCTCAATTTACAAATACGGGCAAGGAAGAAAACACAAGCCTGGAGGATACACAATTGTAGACGTTCAGCCCTGGAGACTCAGGCTTTCTGTAGCTCGGATACTTGCAAAGATTGCAAAGAATGTACAGCACAGAAACAGGCCACTCGGCCCAACCAGTCCATTCTCTCTCTCATGTGAAGATCTAGCGTCTTTGCGGATGCTGCTCCTGAGGTTTGTATTTGGCTGGGTTAGAGTATTATAGGAAATCAGTGATAACTAAGAAAGCTTGCAGTGGGAGGAGGAGAAGTCATGTGTTTTTATTCAAGTTGCATGTTGTAACTCTAAATGCTGCTAATTGTTAAAGTGGCATAACATTTACGTTCCTTTAGAAAAAAATATTAAAACAAATTCAATCCACCAAAATTCTGGGAGCTGTTCCCTTTGATGAGGAAGAGGGTTAGATTCTCTTTGCCTCTCACATGGCAACCGCACTTTTTTCAGTAAAGTGAAAAAACAGGGCGAAATATTGGGCAAGTTTCCTTACTCCACATGCCTCCGTTTACCAAGGAGTAAGTAGGAACCCAGTTGTTAGTCGATTGGCGGATCGATATTCCGAGGGTAATAATCCCTCAAGAAAAAAAAACAAGAATAATTTGGTCACTCAATCCACGACTGTTTGTGGGACGCTGCTATGTACAATTGGCTGCCGCGTTTCGGCCACAAATACACAGTCTTTACACTTTACAGTATATTCCGTGAAGCATTTTGAGACATATAGAAGACATGAAAAGCGCTATGTCAAATGCAAGGATTATTATTAAATCTCCAAGATTCCTTGTCCCGGATATGGAATGGGAGTGAGCTGAAAACCTGAGGTTCAAATATTTTCGTTTGGAATTAACCAGCTGCTTTGAAAGTGCACCGTTTAAGGAAATTAAGATCTGAAAGCAGGAATATCAAAAAGCTTTGGGCTCTGACAAAATCTGAGTTATATTACCCCAAAAGTTTATTTGTGACTAAAGTTGAGATAGACGTTCTCTGTAGATACTGACAAACATTGCAAAAGCAACCTTCAAATTAAATACATCTGATAATCCAAATCCTTCCTGGATAGGACTTTACAAGGAAAGTAACTGTGACTTAGGCTCTTTATTACCAGTGTTGTGTTCCCTCCATCATGAAAGAAGCAATGACTACGTACTAGTAATGTCATTTCTAAAAGTCAAATGGGTATGCATTGTCACTAAATCTATATTATTCATATGTCGCTAATTGTTAATATTGATAAGATTATTGTGCGTCAATTAACTTGACAACAGAGCATCAGTAAAAGCCCTATATTAAGAAAGTCTGCAAATACTGTACGTGCATATTGATATCCATGTGTCATGTTATCATTTTCTGCTAGTGATAACCTAATAATACAAACAAGCAGTAACTATTTGAACCATTTCAAGCCTCTATTGTTTCCTAAATGTATTTATTCATCGTCTACAAAATACACAGTCAGTACATTTTGCAGTAAATCTGGTGAAGCATTTTGAGACCTGCTCTTAAGTAAATGGCACTTCATCAATTGCCAGGAATATTATTATTATTGATTGAAATATATTGGTCAACATCAAAAACTCTGCCACAGTGTGATCTCAATAGGCATCTTCTTAACCTTTCGTGTAGGATCAATTTAATACTTTACTTGAAGATACGCATCTCAATTAGCCACATTGGCAAAGATTTGGCCAAGAATCAATTGTAATCATAGCACAATTGTTTTACTTGAGACCTGAAAGCGTCACTGTTTAGAGCTTAACTGTTGCATCAGATGATACATTGCCCTGTCAACCTCTAACTAGCACCTAATACTTTTCACAAAATTGAGAGAGGGTTTTAGCTGAAAATGCCCATTATCTTGAGACCAACTGGATTTAATACCTCTGCTGAGACCAAATACATCAATGATAAGAAGCCTTAGGAAAATAATCGACACTGTCAAGAGTTTTGCGAATTTTTTACAAAAGCTACTTTTGATAGTCTTAAGCGGAAACACCGTTTTTTTGTAGTGCGCTATGTTTTCTTATCCATGTCTACTCTGTCCCTGTGGGCAGCCTCTACAATCAGTTCTGTGATTTTTGCATCATTACAAAGATGTTTTTGTTTGTTATAGACATAATGAAACAATCTACAGTACCAGCTGAAAATAGTACTGTACAGTGTTCAGCAAACACTGGCGTTCTTCATAACCCCCTGCCTTATTTGGCCCACCATCAGCAGACTAGCTTTCACCCATTCTGTCCCTGCTCTCTGGAACTCCATTCTGGAGTCTCATTGACTCACTGCCTCCCTCCCCTTGTCCAAGGTCTGTCTCAAAACGTACTTCTTCGACCATGCTTTTGGTCATCTTTCCCCTCTCCACCCATTGCTCCCATCGCCAAGCCTGTGTGTCCTGCCAACACTGTCAAGCACTTCATCCCAATGTAAAAAGTGCTCTATAAAGGTGAATTGTACACACCGTTCAGGAAACAAATCGCTTAAAAGCCAACTTGTGTTAGGACTTACTTTAGAGTTGGCAAGATTTTTTTTATAAATAATCCTTGTATTTGACCGTGCCTTCAGCTCCCCTCTTGACTCTACCCCCTCCTCGCTCCCTCCCTTCCCTTCCCTCACCCTGACCATTTCCCCCCTGCTCGGGTCCTGACCCAACTGTACAACGCCTTGGGACGTCCTCCCGACGTGAAAGGCGCTCAATAAATGGAATCTTGTTGTTGTTGTTGTTGTTGTTGATGTCGCACTTTACCTTGTTGTTGAAATATCTCAAAATGCTTGATGGGAGCTTGTAGTAAACTGAGTGTTTTTGCAGGCAAACATGGAAGGCAGTTTGCACATAGCAATGCCCTACAAACAGCAATTAAGTGAATGACCAATCTTATCTGCTGATTGTTGGTCAGGACAATGGGAGAAACTCCCTTCTTTGCAAGAATAGCACTGTAAGGGACAAAGTTTCTGTTGAATGATTTATATAAGGCATTGCACATTGGTATGACTGGAATGCACGATTGCAGTATACCTTTTAACGTCTTAATATTGAATATTATGATTACGTAGCAAATGCCAGTTAAATCAGAAGGAATATAATTTTTTTTCTGATAGAAAAGGACTGATTTCTTTGCCTATTTTTGCTGCCTGTTGTTACACAGCACTTGCCCAGTTTTGGACCTTACCTTGAGCAGCGTCAGAAGATCATCGCAGAGTATAAGCTGAAGCAGAAGGAGCGGAATGAAATTGTTCAAGAACCTGATGAAAGATCATATGTAGTCAAGAAAGCCATTCCAAAAGTGCAGGTAAGTAATAAACAAACATACAGACAGGTAAGGATATCCACAGCTATTCATTCTACAATTTTACTGGCTCCCTTAGTCTTCTGTCATGAGTGGGACTATTTAAATTCTGAAAATATGTACCTTTAACTGGAGGACAAAATTTCTTTTGACGCCCTCTCTTTGTCGATTCCAATAAGTGGAAATCGTATGCAAATTTATAAGAACCCGCTCTGAAGGACACTGTTAAATATATGATTAACAGACAATGGGGCCTGGAGAAAATCATGCAGAAACTGTTTAACTACAACATTAAGGAAGCCTTCCCCACAATGGGGTATAATGAGGTGAGTTGAGGTCTAGTGAGGCCTGGGAGGGGGATGGGCGGAGGTTGTCTTTTAGTGATGCTACTGTCAGCAAGAAGGAACATTAAGTGATGACCTTAAGATAAAGATTAGTTAAGTTACTCAGGAATATGACTGCTGACAGAAATAAATTATTTTCTATGCTCCAATAGCTAAACCTGCTTTAATGATCTGATCTGATTAGGTTTCAAAGGTATTTAAAAATAGATTGCTAAAATCTTTATCGCTACACTTAGTTGATTTGGGGTGAGACATCCCCTATGAATATGTGGTTATATTTATTATAGCAAAAGTTATATTTTATTTGTGTGTAATTGTGTGTAAGAAAAACACAACTTTAGACTACTGTTGAAACAGCTCCTGTATTTTAATCTGATTTAGTATTGAGCCAAATTTGTAAACTGCTTGAAGCTTTTCTGCGTACCTGTGTTTTGCTGTTACAAATTAAATTGCATATATTTCCCATGGTTGTTACAGGAAATGATTGGCAAATCGCTGTCACAGATTGGAGCCTTTGGCCAATTGAACCTCAAGGAGCATGTGGTAGCTCTGATTGATGAAGAGATGTGCATCAATTGTGGCAAATGCTACCTGACTTGCAATGACTCTGGATACCAGGTTTGTAGAGACGGGATATAATTTGTGGAATCCTGCAGCTCAGTGGTTAGAGCGCTCGCCTGGCAAGGGAAAGACCTGGGTTCGAATCCCGGGCAGGGCGAAATGTTGGGCAAGTTTCCTCACTTCACACCTCTGTTTACCTTGAAGTAAGTAGGAACACGGTTGTTAGTCGATTGGCGGATTGCTTTTCCGGGGGTAATAAATCCTTCAAATAAATAATACCAATAATAAATTGGTCACTCAATCCACGACTGTTTGTGGGACACTGCTGTGCGCAATTGGTGCCGCGTTTCGCCCATAAAATATAGAGTCAATTCATTTTACAGTTTATTCTGTGAAGCGCTTTGAGACGTCTAGAAAACATGATAAAGCGCTACATCAAATGCAAAGATTATTATTATTATTGATGTCACTTTTTAGGCTTACACATTGAAAACCAAATATTTACACAAATTTAATGCAAGGATCTCTTTACTAGACTCCGGTTACCTGAGACAAAACCAGGGCTTTTCAGTCTTGAGAGAAGATATCTCAGGGAGAACCTTATAATAATAATACACACCTAACATAAGGTGTATAACATTTTAAATAAGATTGAAAAAGTAAACCCAGAACAATATTTTAGGATGTACTAAACACTTGTTCCCTCCCTACCCTCATTCAAGGCCCATCTCAAAACATACCCCTGTGACTGCACTTTTGGTAATTTTTCCCCTCCCACACCCACCTCAGCTCCCACCCACCACTTCAGGGCCCAGCTAGCAGTGTCAAGCATTTTGAAACATCTTCCCAACATAAAGGTGCTTGTATAAATGTAAATTATATCATAGTTTCATTGTAAGACAGTAGAACTAGAGGATGTTAGGTTTAGAGTTACAAACAGCAACTTCCAGACAGATACCAGGATTCTTTTCTTCACTTGGAAGATAATTAACTGGAATGGTTTGCCGAGAAAGGTGATTGAGGTCAGGACACTGGACTTATTAAAAAGGAAAAAACAACTTGATGGTGTGATGAGATTGGACGTGCTAGAGGGCTTTTATCTGAGTCAATCTTATGAGCCTAGGACCAACTAAACTAATGTACAATAGTTAAAGTTCAGCAAACAACATTTGAACTAAAATGTACTCTCTAGATAGATGAAACTAAGTGAAGCTTTTTTTAAATAAAATGTTAGAAGGGTGAGATCTTGTAATTAGAAGGAATCTATGAGTTCTAGCTCTTTAGTGATTCATTTTATTCTTTCTTTACTTGTAATTGTTAACATAATTTAGAACCAAATAGGACATAACAACATTTAATCTTCTAGCAAGCGTAAGCTTTGCTAATGAAATGCACTGCTGTATTCACAAAGCTGTGTTGTACATTATTTAGAACTAGATGGTACAGATTAATAACAAGTATTTTTAAATCAAGGCAGCAGGTCAATTTAGCGAACCACTAATTGGAATGCCTGAACCAGAAATGTGCCCCCTTTACTGCCTGTCTCTTAATAAAGCATCCAAAACATCAGAATGGTTCTGCTCCAGTTTACAGACAAAAAAATCAACATGTGGTTTTAATTAAAATTTATACGTGAGAAACTGTTGGATAAAAAAAAACTCATGAATGTCAGCGTACCATGTGGGAACTCTGTCTGTATTTCCAGGCTTTACTTCTGAAAAGTGTTTCCATCTCTGAACACTTTCTGAGTAGCTCTGTCGGTTGTTTTGGGACCGTAAGTTTCAGGGTTAGATAACCTTTGTCCACTCACTCTTTGTGAGATTGATAAATTGAATACCACCTAAAAGAGGGGGAAGGAGGGGAGAGTAAAATAAGATTGGTTACCTGTTGCTTTGACTATCTGTAATTTTAATTTGGAAGTCAAAGGGTGACATTTTCATTCTAACATTTTCATCTCTCCAACACTGATCACAACTGCGTGAGAAAGAAGCAAAATGTACTTTTGCTTGGGAGATTATGAATTTCTTTTACAGGCACATTATAAATTCCAATGTGCAACACTTACCTGTTCAAACACTGACAGAGCTGTAGTTCATGGACATCAGTCATCCACATCATTTTATAGTCTGTAAATCCTTCCTCTCTCACCCAGATAGTTTAAAGCAAGGATTTGTCACTGTCACAACAGAAAATCAAACGCCTCTTTACTTACATTGTTCTAAAGCCAATCTATTTACTGTTTCAAATTAACACTTAATCATTGTCAGTAGTGCAAATCATACACTGTCACCTGCAAAATGGGACTTGTTGGTCTTAATAAAACTAAAGGAACAAATTCCCAGTCATACTCCCAATGTAGAGTTCTAAAAAAAAGCAAGTTGCCTCAGGTATTGTGCTGACTTTAATATTGTACAATTAAAAGTTTTAAAAGTACGTGGATGCCGAAAAGTGATCTTATTTTCTAAACAAAGCAAATTGACTCTGTGCTTTGTCATTTGAGCTCAGTAATACATTGAGGGAATAGTTACCACCCAATTCGGTAAGAATATCACTTACGTATAAATGGCATCAATCTGATATATCAATGCTGGTGGCAGCCGGTTGCTATCCAAGGCAATAGGATAATTGGTTTGAGGTGGAAAAGTTAATACCCTTCTCCTACTTTTAGCTTTTTCCCAAAGTAACTGTATAAAGGACAATGTCATTCTCACACTGCTGTGTTTGTTGCTTAATGCCCTATCCCCTCACATGGTGTGAATTTAATGAAGCAGTACTCTACTGAATACACTACTGAAAGGGACTTTTGGCCACAGTTTGAACACGGTCAGTAAAGGATTGTGAGATGTTATTAAAGCGTTCCGCTCCAGGATTTGTGTTCTAACAGTAATATCCAGGACGACAAGAGTTACCTGTTATTTGTCTGAGGGTTAAAGAATTTGTATCACACACTTGGACCAAATCCCATTGAACTTTCAGTAGGAATTCTTAAACCATAGGACCAAAAATATATATAATATACTTAAACTAATATTTGAGTTGAAATTGTGGATTTTCAGCATATCAGAGTATTAGGTTTAGGTATTACATGCCTGAAATTGTTTATTTTGATTTTTTTTCAGATATTATTTCAGGATTACACTTAAGGCAATTCTTCTTGTCTCACCTCTAGCTATTTTCACAAAATTAAGCAGGGTGTTTGCTGGTTATCTGTAACAGTACTAATGCTGAAATCAAATGCAAGGTCAATAACCCTAAAAGATTCTACACCAAAAGATTGCTCATTCCAATGCAGTCTCTCAAATAATAATAATAATAATAATAAATGACCCATTTAGGTCCATTTTCTGAACTTGTCAAACTTAATAAATAAAATAAATTAAAATAATTTGGTCACTCAATCCATGACTGTTTGTGGGAATTGGCTGCGCTGCTTTGCCCACAAAATATGTGAGCAATTCACTTTACAGTATATGGAGTCCTGTAGCTCAGTGGTTAGAGAACTCGCCTTGCAAGTGAGAGACCTGGGTTTGATTCCCGGCAGGGCAAAACCTTGGGCAAGTTTCCTTACTCCACACACCTGATGATAAACCCTCAAGAAAAAAAAATAATAATTTGGTCACTTCAATCCACGACTGTTTGTGGCACACTGCTGTGCGCAATTGGCTGCCGCGTTTCGCCCACAAATATACAGTCAATTCACTTTGAAGCACTTTGAGACATCTCGAAGATACGATAAGGCGCTATACCAAATGCAAGGATTATTATTATAATTAACAGGACAGCAATTCACATTCTGAATGAATAGAAATATTTGCTTTATTGTGTTTCCTTAACCTGGTTGTTTTGTATCTATTTTACAGGCCATAACCTTTGATCCCAAGACTCACCTCCCTCATGTTTCTGATGTCTGCACAGGTTGCACTCTTTGCTATAGCGTCTGTCCCATCATTGACTGCATTCAAATGGTTCCTCGTGTAATACCTTATGAGCCAAACAGAGGCATTCCTCTGTCTGTCTCAGCAGTTCATTGAAGTAATTTGCTTCAGCCATAAAATGCAACCTAACATTCATTTATGAGCATTGATTTAGTCATTAATGATGCAATATGACAGACAGTTATTTTCAAAGTATTGATTTCTAGCCTGCTATTTTTGTTTCTGCGGCCTTGGATTCTTCAAACGATTGGCGAACATCTAGCGTAAAAGTGCAGCGTTTAAATAATTTGTCAGCAATACATTTAATATTTAACATGTTGTAAGAAAATTGCCCAATGCCTTACGGTGAGTAGAACGTTATATATAATTCACAGTGTATTAATAGTTGCTAAACTATGGTTTCATCACGGTGCTGTAAAACAAAGGGCTTTGGCCAAGACACAAACATTTTAGGGAGGTGCCACAGGGTGAATCAGGAAACCTCAAACAAGCAGCCCCCTCCTCCGCCCCATTTACTTTAGTGGAGAGTCATTTGATATGTTGAAGCAGCATATTTCATGCAAGGGAACAAAGAGAAATTTCCAGAGAAATTTCCAACCTAGTAAGTAACGTGACTGAAATTTACATTCATCTCACTGCATGAGATGTGTTTCTTCAGCTTGTGCAGTACCATCCCATTATATAGATAAGGATATCTGCCTGCAGCATTCCTCTGCAGCTCGCTATTCACATTTAATCTCACCTAGAAGCGCACAACCTACTGCGTTCTGCCAATAAGGTTAATTCTCAAATCTGAATCAAATCTGACATGTGCGTAAACTTATGATGAAACCAGTTACTGGAAAAATGATATTCTGTAGGAGCGAGAGAAACTTATCTGAAGTTTTATTTGAATCTGATAGAGATGGTTATCGGTTTTCATAATGATACTTTTGCGGAAATCTGTAGGCAGAAAGATTCTTAAAGGGTGGGAAAAATAAATCACTAAATTAAGGATTGTTTTCAGTAACAAAGTTGAGGTTCTAGATAGACTTGCCCTGTGCAGATTATAGAAATTGTTCCTTCTGTTTTAGAATTAATTATGGTTAATCTGCTTTTAATTGTTTTTGCACAAACGTATATTAATTTTTGTTTTTGCTGTTCATAATAATTCTATGCCAATTAAAAGTTACAGTATTTACGGATGTAGTAACTGCAGCATGGCAGGGTAATGAGATTTTCATGGTGGACAATTTCGTAAACATATAACCGTCTTGATGCCTTACATATTATTCACCCCCACTTGTTTTTGCTTGGCTAGGAGCAGGTTTGCAAAGTATTTATTGGTTGAGGTTCAGTGAATTGCTTCTTGCGGAGTTTTATACAGTACAGCATTCCCTTACATTAGATGGTGGTGCTGAGTAAACATAAAAGGAGTTCAACATACATCTGGTTTTGAAATGTACTTTAAGGCTGAGTTCAGGCATTGATCACAAAATGCAGGGACCATGGGGATATCTTCCATGGAGTGCAAATGGGATGTAGATGTATTTTAATACTGACATCCTGAAATTGCCTTTGTTTGAAAGCTTTAACTGCCATTCAGCTCCCTTGAGAGACCAATTGTTAAGGAGGCTACAAAATTATTTATAACTCAGGGAGGGCAGGCTTGATGAATCAGATGGCACTTCCCCTCTCCATACTTGCATTTGCCCCAGTGAGAAGTATTGATGCTGGTTACAGAGATGTCAACAATAGTCGAGGAAGTGTAAGAGGCAGTGAGCATTAAGCAAACAAATTACAAAAAAGGAAAGAAAAAAATTGGTAAAATAGGACCAGGAGTATGTATTTTAGATTTAGATTTTGAGCATTGAGTTGATGCACGACTGATATTTTTCCATTATTGCATGTTCTCCTGCCAGTCAAGCACCAGTTGCCATAGTGTCACACCCACATTAACTTGACATTTCTGGAAAAAGCATTTAAATTTTAATTTAGCAATAAATGTTTTCACCCAGAACATTTTTATCTCGCATTGAAGTGCCTAATAGATGTCTTGATTATCAATATAGAGTAAATATTACTGTATGAATCAAAAGCTATATTGAAGTGTCATTTTAAGTATGACTTAGTTTATTTAACTGAGGTTTAATATCGTAACCTTAGTTATGATTAACTCATTCAGATACTTTGCAAAGAAATAAAATTCAAATGTCCTTGCAATTTAGATTGCTGCTTTATGTTTGTATGATGAATAACCTGTCTTTAATAAATATCAGGAATTCCTAAATTTGCTTTGTCCCAAGTGTTTTTAATTTGTCCAGAAGGACTGTGATCGAAGTTGTTTTTGTTAACCAGGGATTTTTCTACACATTCACCTAGGAACATATTACCCAGTCTCAGCAGACGGCACTCTGCAAATGTCCACTCATTAAGTTTGAGAATCTCAATAGAACTTAAAGACAATTTGTTTCCGATAATCCTTTGGTGACGTTATTCTTGAAAAATCATTACTTGGAACACATTTTAGGAGACTAAACTTTCAGGGGGTACAAGGTTGCTTTATCAAATTCTTAAAAAAGAAAATGTTAAAAACAATTGCCGAACATCTAACTTAAAAGTGCGGCATTTAAATAATTTGTTTAGAAATATTGGTATTTCTTAAACAGACTGCTTAAGTAATCGGAGTCACATAAAGGGGGAATCCTTCCAGTAAGTGGAATAATATCATGCTGATCTGCAGGAACTCTAAGCCAATGCAATCACTTTCAGAGCAGAGTTCCCAAAGTCAATGAGAAATTTTAACTGGATTCCTTATTAAGGAATCAGGTTACAAAATAACACAGAATAGAGCCCGATAGTTCTGGGTATTTAGAATTTCTTGTATAAGTGAATGTTTTATTGTATGGAGTAAGATAATATATGTCACAGCTTTATCTTTTGAACTAATAGTTTAAACTCATGTTACTTTTAATTTATTTCACCCCCACCTTTCCATCTGTCTCTAATTCCTCTAAGATTGCCACTAATTGCAGTGAGTGGGCGGTGGCTGCTAACATAAATGCCTTTAAATCACTAAAGAAATATTGTTTTAAGTGCATCTTTAATGTGCTATTGATAATTGATGTAATACATATTTAAGTTGTTTTTCATTTTAAAAAAATAGACAAGGAAACCACTCGAGAACAAAACTACACTGTATTTCACTAATTTATCACTGTCTACATACACTTTCACCTCAACTGCACAGTTTTAATTAAATGCCTTTTTATTTCCTGTTTCTAGTCTAGCTCGTCTGTACTTTTATGAATTGAAAGTGTAATGATGACACCTATGAATTGTTAAGGTCACACTGTAAAGGTCACATCTATTTAATGAAACGGTTTGGAATGAAACGTGCAGTGACAGAATAATAAAATATTCTTTTCTCTACAGTACTTTGTAGAAGCAGCTTGCAAGTACTGTACAATCCCAGTGAAACTGCACACTTTAAATGGCTGCCATAATTACAGATCACAAGATTCTTCTGTCCAAGCAAGCTCACTGGTGGGTATTCTTCACTGGGAAAGTGCAAAACATAGATATTTGGCATGAGAGCATGCTTCATCCACTGAGTGATCGGTCTTTAAATCTAGTTCTTATCAGACACAGATTCTTGCCTGGTGACCTAGTCGTATATATTCCAGTTTTAATATCAGTTGAATATTTGATCTGAACTCAACAGAACATTTCGATTGGATTTGTCTAATTCCAAGTTGACTCAGGTAGAAATGATGTTCAGTAAATATAGAGACTTGGATTTAATCTGAAATGCAGAAGAAAATTCCCTTCCCACATGGATAATTTTAAAAGCAAACTTGAAATGATACCTTCTTTATAACGTAAACTAAACAGGTTAAAGAAATTAATTTTAAGATGCCGATAGTAGGCGAAAAGGGAAATTTCACGAGGCAAATTGTGCCACCAGTTTCAAAGCCGCTGAAGGTATAGCACTGGGATTTACTGAGTGAGCCACATAGAGTTGAAACTACAATCAGACAGCCCACAAGAGAGTGCAAGCATCAGCCTTCCGCTGTGATAGAAAGGATTTCTGTGGCCCTCTGCTGAAATCGTCTTGAGTTTTTTATAAAAATAAAATTTCAATTTTGAAAGAGTACTGTTTCCATCTTAAACAGTCACTCTAAAACATTCAATTCTTTCGTCAATTTAAAACATAATATTTTCATAGAAAACTGAGCTCCTTCGAAAATATCCAGTTTTCCTCCTCATCCAAACAGAAGAAATCATGATTTTGAACTTGTCTGTTTTCAGCCAGGATTTGTGAAATTAGATAAATACATAATAAATGCAACATCCAATTGGGAAGGAAGCAAATATTAATGTATGCTAGCATTGGATAATCTATGCTAATATACGTTAATAAATGCGAATGAATTCACCATCATCTTTAAAGGCACTGTGGCCAATCGCACACAAACTATTTGCCAAAATGTCATAGATGCAGTGAAATAAAATATGCTATCTGAACTTGAAGAAGGGATTTGTCTGAATACAAAAATAGCAAACAAGGCCCGTGTAAATTCTGCATATAACAATAAGAAAAGGCAATGAAAGTGAACAAGCGCTCAAATTAAAAATGTCTTCTAATAAACTTTTGGCTGTAATGTGGACTTTTTCTCTCTACGTTATTGTTTCACGTGTACATCAAAGCAATTGAGATTTTGCATAACCAACAATTTCTGTGAACTGCCATCACAGAGGCTGATAACTGTCGGTTACTTCAAGGGACTATGTACCACTGAGTGTATCCGTGTCATACGATTATCAATGGAAACAGGAATAATCCTCGTGCTGTCAATCTTGCTGCTGTTACATATCAACAGATGTCAGTCCTAGGAGATGATGGAAAGATCACCAGGCTTGTTCAAACTGACAGCAACAATGCAAGTTAAATACAGGATAACAGATAGGTTAGAGTGGGTTACAAGCGAGTAACACATTGAAGGATTCAGATGGCATCATAAACTCATAAGTTGCAAAAATAAAGCTCCAGCACTTTATCAATATCATCTCAACCTTGAGTTGCGTTTTATCATTTAAGAGGACTCCAGCCTGTTTTATTTGATAGATAGGTGTGAAGTTAGTGGGGTTGGTTTATTCGGTTTGCAGCAAATTCTCTTTTTTTNGCCAAAGGCAAGCAGTGTAGCTGACAGTGACAGACAGCAACTTTCTGCAATTAAATCATGTGATTTGAACTGATATACTTGTGTACCAAGTGATTTGAATAGAGGCGAACGTGAGGATCAGGAATCAATGTATGTTATACAACATCAGTAACATTGCACTTTTGCTCCATGCAAGAAATACAGTCCATTCCTCATTTTACTTTTGTCATTTGTCATTTGCTGAACAGCTGATATTTTATCAGGGTATCAATTCCAGATATTTTTCCCCTAAAATTAACAAATGGGAATCAAACTATCGCAGGTGAAATAATATTAAAAATAACACATTTGTAAACACTAAATGCCCACGTCCTTGAGAGCAATACATTTTCAGGATATCGAATAATTAAATCCAATTCAGTCCCTCTTATAAGGTGTGCTAGAAATGTACACCAGAATTGCTTTGAATGTTGAACACATTTTTACTATTCACGACTGAGACTTGTATAACTGCAGATCAGTTTTTCCACTATTTACAATTGAAACGTTTTATCTGTGGACATTTATAACCACTTATACAGTAGGTATTGACCAATGCACAAATGTGTAGTTTGAATTAATGTCCATTTTATATTTTAAAAAGCTAGACACATTTTTATGGTTTCATTTGTTCACAATAAATCCGAAAGGTGATGTTCATTTTAAAATTTCAAATGAATAATCTCAGTCCAAACTATAATCTACAGTGTGTTTCAGCAGATGGCAAAATACTAGTGTTGTTTTAAACAGAGAAATTGATTGTTTTATTTTCTTTATCATTAATGTATAATAACTGGTTCCATTAGAGGGCAGCATTTAGCTTTGTCCCAATAAAGTATTAAATGCAACGTAGCATCCATCTTACAACGTAGAGAATTCCCAACTCTATACAGCATTTGGCACTCAAGGCTAGTACAGAGTGTAACAATGGCAAATCTGTATCAAGCTCACTGCAGTAATGTGAATAACCATGCAGAATTGTATTTAAAGCTGTTTTTACAAAACATAGGAAAGTAAATCCAGCGTGCCAAACACAAAGCAGGTTTACCAACCAACCGGTAATCCAAAACGTCATTAATCCAATGATAGATTGCTACTGCATAGCCAATGTGCAATACTTCAGGCAGTAAGTGCTGGCAGATTGGCTTAGGGTGTGGAGCACCATCCTGGTGGGCGAAATACAGGTTATCACCCACAAGCTATAGTCACTACACTTTACAGTCTATCCTGTGAAGTGCTTTGAGACATCTACAACACTGGATAAGGCGCTATATCAAATGCAAGGATTATTATTATTATTTCCCCTCGAGTTGACATCGTGCAATCTGCATGGCGCTGTCATAAGGAGAAGTTGAGCAGAGGACAGGTTCTCTCACCAATCCACCCACCCCCCACACACACACACACACAAATATAGTGTGGCATCACTTAAATCCAACTGAACTGATTGTGGTCAGTTATAAAGAGATGAAAGGCCAAAATTTGGAACAGTTCTCTTGTCTGTCCTAGTAGCAGCGGGAGCTGTGTGGCTCACTGAGATCAGGCCGGTCAGAAGTAAATTAGAAATAAAGTAGTTGTATACTGTCTAACAATCACAATCAAACAGGATACCTGCGTTGTAAAAGTGCACATTTTATAAAAGAATAATCTTTAAATAACCTCTCTCGTGTGTTTTTCCTGCGAGGATAAATTCAGTCCTACAATAAATATCGAGTCTTTTGTGGTTATAAGCTTATCTGCATTTCCGTACAGTTATGGCTCAGCTCTTATACACCTTAAAAAGATATTGTCAGTGAGCCTCTTAAGGAGACTTACTTGCAGTCTGATGAGATGTCTGCATGTAGACGCAATCTTGTTAATATGATAGTCAGGGAGCTGCTGTGCGGAGTGGATTTCGAGCAGTTATAATCCAGGAGATCAGAGCACAAATGTACTCAAGCTGAGATCATAGAAAAGCATGAATACGTGAGGGGCAAAATAATAAAATCCCTCCCCCCCCCACCCGCAGCAAAAAAAGATATAGAAACTGGAAACATTTCTTGTGAACTCTCACTTAGAATACACTCCGGCTGTTGAGGTTTTGGAA